AAAATATTTCATTAGCAGAAGCAAAGCATAAGCACGCTGGCACTGAGCTAAAAGCTTAGAACACAGGTATATTCCAGGATTGTTTAAAGCAAATGCCAGATGTTACTGCCCAAAGCAGGCATCGCCATGCAGATTACAGATACTGCTTTACAACAGGATTCTAATCCAAGGCTACCGAGATATGTTCCTGTTAGACTCAAGACCTTATCAATTCCAGCAGCAAGTAATTATCCTAGCAACTTTTTAGAGACTTAGAAAGTTCAACTTCTCCATCTGCCCATTCATAATTAATACATAAGAAATAAATACATTAAAAAAAAAGTGTAAAGCCTTCAGTCACTCATAGGTTCTTGCTCAAATCTGTATCAGCCCAAGCTGTGCTGCTCCTAGCGATGGGCAAAGGACCTCTGGCCCCTGTTCCCACACTGAGACTTTAATGCTGCGTGAGGAGGTGAGAGTCTGCTTAGATAAATTAGCTCCCTGTCTCAGCTCCTCATCACCATGTTCCACACACACTGGTGGGCTCTCCGGCCTCCAAAGCCCTGAGTCTTCCACAAGATGCGGTCCTGCCTTGGCAGGAGCTGTGTAGAATGCTCCATCTGCATCCCTCAGAGCTTGGCAGGCAAGACAGAGCACTCTCCGCAGAGGGACAGAGGACATTCATTCAGGGAAAGGAAGGAAGTGGATCCAAATCTGGATCTGAAAATTCTATTCAGGAATGCTGATTAGATCCCAACCAAGCTTCTTTAGTTTTGTTGGCTAATTTGGCTTTCGTGTGTGGCTGCAGGGGACCATGTGTGCCTAGCTAGGGAAGATAAAGGAATAATAGAGGCCTCAAACTGCCAAACTAGTTTTTATTTAATAGTGTGTGCACATAGCACTGCATTATGTGTGGGGGTCATAAACAGGGTTCAGGATTGTGCTCACAATATCTGCAATACAGGGATGGATTCTTCTTGGGAGAACATATTTGTTCCATTTTCTACTGTGTGCTCAGTGCTTAACCTGAATGACATATTTCTAGGTGCCCTTAATGAGCAAGTATGAAGATGAAATACTACTCAAACCAAGAAAACTGATAGAAATCCAAATTAAGCAAGCATTATCCACAGAATGTAATTTTAAAAATTATTCCAACTTGCTTCTTTGGAATACTGTGTCTTTCCTTTTAATCGATGCAGCTCTGAGATGCTTACAAAAAAACCCAACCCTGAAACAACTACCTGAAACTCCACCTACACTACCTCTTATTCTGAAACTATTTCATATATGCTTCACAGAACTCTTGAAGAAAGTACCTTTCCAAAAATAATTTTCCTACCTTACTTTCGGGAAGTATGAATTAGAAACTTATAATTACAGTAATCTCTCCCCAGATTCAGGCTGTGTGGGTCCATCTTGGGTGTCAATGTCAGTCCTCCACTCACACAGACATCAGCAAAGTATGGGGAAGCACGGTTGAGTGTCACTTGAACTCTCCTGCTTCTGGGCCTGCTTTTGATCCTTACGTATTTTTATTGTCCTGAAGTTCCTGTTCTTGCTCCTAGGTTTAACAAGGATATTGAGTTCATGATTGGACACAAGCCCAATATATTCTGGCAGGTAACCTGGAGAGTTATCAGTCCTCTCATTATGTTAGTTATCTTCTTATTTTATTTTGTGGTGAAAGTCAATGAAGAACTGCTCTACAGTGTTTGGAATCCTGAATATGTAAGTATAAAAAACCAAAATATTTATTTAGAATTACTTGGTATCTCCTTCTTCAATGTAAGAGTCATAGTCAGTTATATTCATCTTTCATCTCAAATAGGTTTCAGATTAAAAAAAAAAAAAAAGTTAAAATACAAAATTAATAATAAAAGAGTAGCACTTAAAAAAATAAGTCCTAAATTCAGCTTTACTGAAGTGAACAAAACCCTCAACCATTAATCCAATTTTGAGTGGGGCCTCAACAGGACCACTTCAACAGATGTCTGTTGCACGGTAGGAAGCATAGAAGAGCTGGAAACATCATGAATTTTCTGTGTTGACAAAAGACCATGTCTGTGAAAGCATTTTGTATTGGTTACTGTGTCCATCTAAAAGCACAGAACAGCAACGGTGCTGGTTACTCATCACCGACTGAAGAAATTAATATTCTCCTAACCGGATTTCTTCTTTCGTCTTCTAAATATACTTGCATCATTTAAATTACAGCACTAAATCACCTACTTTTCCTTTCTTCCTCTTGAAGAACAATAGGCTGTATGTGGTACCAGGACAACAGAATAAAAACAAAGATGAGGGGTTCATCATTTTCTGCAGGACTTCATCTCCTCCTTGCTTATCTGTTTTTCTCTTCTCTGGCCTTATGAAACTGGAAACTGCTCTTGAATCAGCAAATCCATGTGCCCTTGTGGCTAACTGCTGCTGCAGTACTGTTTCTCTTCTGTTAAAATACTGAATGCACATATTTTCAGGTATTTGCTCCTCTCACTTCATATAACTTGCTTTATTCTTTCAGGAAGAGTTCCCAAAACCACAGAAGATTGGATATCCTGGCTGGGTCTATGTTATTATTGTAATCATCGCTGGTGTGCCTAGTTTGATCATCCCTGTCTTTGCCATCTACAAAGCCATCAGAAATTGCTGTCAGAAGAGAAGTGATCGTACAGGCCTTATAAGCTCAATATCTGAGACGTCTGTTAATGGCAACTTAAAGAATTCAGCATAAAAGCATGTAAAAATGTGGAAGAATGCCTTGCTAAGAAAGCCAAAAGATTTTCTTTAAAGAATTCAGAATCAAATTTATTGCCATAAAAGGATAACTACGTGTTGTTTCTACGTAAGCGCTTGCTTACTTAGGAATGCAAGGTACAGTGAAGAAGTGATAGCTTGGATCCTGGGAGCCACATTTGCAAAACAGGCCAAATAATTTCTCCTGCTTCTGGTTTTGAAGCCAGTTTGTTTGAAACTGGCTTGGAGGACTCTGTCTGGGGATGCACTGCGCTTGGCAAGCTTTAAGTGACTCTTCCCTGTCTAAACATTCTGGTTGGGTGACCAATCTGAAGGGTAATTTATACTGACTTCTATTGCACGTTAAATTGTTTTTACTTTACATGCCACTGTGTTGCACAAAGCCACCACTATTATATCTCATTCAGAAGTTAAAAATATTTAATAAAAACATTTCTAAGAACTAGACAGATTGATTCATGTATAATTCTGGGTATTTTATTATTCTCCTGTCCAAGTTCCTAGCAGCCTCAAGTTGCACCACAGGAGGCTTATATTGGACATCAGGAAGGATCTCTTCACAGAGAAAGAGATCAGTCATTGGACAGGGCTGCCCAGGGAGGTGATGAAGTCCCTGCTCCTGGAGGTATTTAGAAGATATGTGGCCATGACACTAAGGGACATGGTTTAGTGACGGGAGCCAGTAGGTCAGGCTTATGGTTGTACTTGGTGATCTTGAAGGTCTTTTCCAACCTAGATGATTGTATGATTCTCTGGTTCTATGATATCTACTCTAGAGGTTATTTTTAGACTACAGCTACACCAAATAAGACAGTGAAGTACCAGGCAATATATTTATTTGCATTTCAACTTAAAAAAAAATATTCTTTGAATATTAAAAATATGAATATTAATATTTATGCACAATAATAATCTGAATAATAATATCCAAAGGATAATTAAAGCAAGAGTGGGGTTGTGGTTGGACTCAATGATTTTTAAGGTCTTTTCCAACCTGAACAATTCTATGATTCTATGAATATATTTTATTTAAAATCTTTCAAGTTGCTATTCTGTAATAGGAAAGGCAGTCAGATTTTCCTAATGAGCTGAGTCTGAAGCAGCTGCAGGGGGCAGGGATGGAGGTACTGCCAGGACAGCCCCAGCACAGCACTCTCTGGTCTGGAGCACAACAGCGGTGGGGGGGAGGGTGGTAGGTGCTGTAGCTGATTTCTGTGATGTGGATGTTCTATAAAGGTGTGGAGTGCAAAACAGCAAAACCCTGGTATTTTGGAAAGAGAACATTAAAGTTTTTCTCACAGGCTTTCAATTGAAGGCAAGCACTCAGCTGTTACATTCCTCAGTAACTATTTAATGAAAAATAAAAATAGTCACTTGGGATTCATTGACAGGTGGGAAGTGATTAACCTCAGGCAGTTATGGTGAAAGCAGACAAGATTTTGATGTCTGAACATATGTGGTCTTGTCTAGAGAACAGTCCCATCTTGGGTTTGCTTAGGAACAAATGTTGAAGGGATCCTGAAAGAGTCCCAGCCATAGTGTGTTGTACCTTTCAAATAATTTCTGTCAGTCACAGGTATGTGTGTGGATGTTCAGAGGGAAAAGCAATATGGAGGACAGCGATCTATGCAGCAGGAGCTGTGTGGCTGCAGCTGGTCTGTGTGTCCCAATGGCAGATCTTGAGGTGGGCAAAAAGCTACTGCAAGTACAGCCATGAAAACACACCTTTATCAGGTTCTATTTGAGGTTTTGGTATAACAGCAACAGGTAAATCTAATTAAGACTAATTTAGTAAAAAAAAAAAATCACTTTTTGTACTTACCAAAGATGTCTTCAGTCACTCAGCTAACAAAAAGTCAATGCTTCCTTAATTCACAGATCTACACATCTTACAATGTTAATGTCTTAATGCTGTAAAGGTCTCTTTTTAATTATATTCAGCGTCACACTTCTTTGATGGTATCTGAGAACAGAAGGAGAACAGAAAATAAAAATCTGTTTGATCCCAAGTTACCCATTAACAACATATTCCTAAGTTCCCTAACTATAGAAGGAACTGCAAAACATCAAGAGTGGTCACTCTGTCTATATAATAATAATTCCTGGTTTGGTATTTAAACTGTGGCACTTCCAATGACACGTTCCTTTGCATTACATAAAAACAAAGCACCGCCTTTTTTGGAGAAACCCTTCTGTCATTCCCCATAAAACCTGCAGCAGAGACACGTTTTGAAGAATCTTCCCATTTATAAGGAAAGGGACTAGAAAGCCAAAGGTACTTCGTACTAGAAGATTTACCAATGGACATGCCACCTGAAGTCCCTAAAGAAGATGGCAGACCAAAGTGGGATAACAAGTTCCAGTATATCTTAAGTTGTATTGGATTTGCCGTCGGCTTGGGGAACGTGTGGCGGTTTCCATACTTGTGCCAGATACACGGAGGCGGTAAGGCTGAAGTGGGACTTTGCCAAAATATTAAGCCACGATTCCGATATAATTGTGCTAACTTATGATGGGCATGGAACTTACATATTTGCATCACTTTCTTTTTAGCTATTGAGTTCTCAAATTCTCATAAATATTTGGCTTTCTCTTTAGATTGGCTTTCTCTGTAGAAATACATTTTGTTTTTAAAGGATGCATTTGTTTAGGAAATAAGACCAACTTGTTGCTCAGCTCTGACGCTGCTGCTACAGTCCTGATGGGAGGAGGAAGATCACTTGCAGTTTGCTACCTTTAGGAGAAGCCAGAAGTCCTGATAAGGCTTTAGTGAGGCAGTTCCCCCAACAGTTGGCTGTGGTGCTTAGCCAGGGAAACAAGAATCACTCCTCTCCCTTCTCTGCCACCTTCAGGAGGTAACCCACAAGCCATGGCTGAGTGAAGCTAAATGGCACTTTTTGATGGCTGTGAAGCTGTCTGAAATGCTTGGCTGATTTAACACAGGCAAGCTGATGCTGACACCTGCCTAAGCTTTTCTGTGGGCACCATTCCCATGAAGAATTGCTTTAGAAGCAGCCAATTTAGTAAATACGAACGGATCAGAAATAGTAAGCTCACTGCTTACAGCAGCTTTTGAGAGGTACCATGGTAACTTGTCTCAAGTAGAGCAATGTAGCAAATTCTTCAAGCCCAGTTTTATTTGTTATCGTTCAATTTACGAGATAAGTACAAAATTGAAACTGAGAGAAACAGGCAAATGGCAGGAAAAAAAATGGTTCAATCTAATTCTATCAAGGTATCTCCATTGCTTCATGAACTACATATATTTGAATAAGCCAAGGAACCACAAACAGATGCTGCCATTAATAGCAGGAGGTATTTCAGAAAGAAACATAAGGACTCTGTGAGCATCTGAATGAGTGAAATCAAGCAGGCTTTCTCAGCATAAAGCATCCTGCCATGCACAAACACTGCACGGGGAAACAGAAGGAGATACTGCTACTGATGCTAACACAACCTTTGTGCCCATTTTTCAAAATCAAGATGAAAAAAAAATGCAGAAGATCCTCAAGACTTATTTGAGATCTGGAAAATGCATGGTATATGGACTGAGTTAAGCATCCAGCCCATTTAACTCACCAAGTTGAAAATGAATGAATCTATTTGCCCTAGTTTACAGATGAGGACATGGAAATTATTTTGACAGCAGGGAGGTCTTTAGCAGTGAAGATGTAACAGCTGGAAGCCACTGTTGCACTAATTCAAGTAAGAAAAAAGAAGCAGCAGTAGGTAGGTGTTTCTCAGGAGACCTTATACTTTATATTATTTATATTCAAAGATGGGAAACCCAGTGAAGCACTCTCAGCTACTTACCATAACCAGGTGGCTAAAAAGCCATAGCTGTTAGCATGCTGTTTCTCTGTCAATTGAAATGGCTGGAAAAAGCCTGTCACTGCAGCTAATGACACACACATAGTGAGGCAGAATACACGCTTTTAGAGGAACATCTACAATGCAGAAACAGTATGTGGCTGAAGGGGGGGTGTTCTGGAGTTGGACAAACAACCTGCAGCATCTCAGATGGCCTGCCTGAGAGCAGGCAACTGAGCATGTCCGTGAACCCAGCACGTCCAGAGCAGAATTTTTGAGTCCTGGGACAGCCTGAACAGCAAAGACAAAGCAACACACGTCTCTTGGGAACAGCCAGCACTTACACGGATTCTTCAGGATTTCATTTTTCCAGAAGTGAATTTCAGTTTTTTTCTCTTGTAGGTGACTCAGTATTTTTTGATCCCACTCTAAACTACTACTGTGAGTGAAAAAAAGGTACAGTCCTACAGCTCACTAAGCTCTAGGAAATGTGAACCAATGACCTGTGCTAGTGACAAGTGAAAGGAAAGCTGCTTGGTGCCATGCTAAATCCTATGCTAGCATGTTTTCAAATGACTCATAAAGTTTGTCTTTAATTAAGCATCTTAACCACAGGAAGCCAGGAAATAAGTCTGGGCCCCTCTATGGAAAGTTAAAAACTTAAGAGAATGCATAGGATGGAGAGGGCTAAGAAGAACACTGACAACACCTGGTAAGCCAGTGGCACGTCATGCTACTGCCAACACAAGTAGCTAACAACAGCCTGGGCAGGAAGGCAGTCACAGGTTTCTCTCTGCCTTTGGTTTCAGATGCTCAGCTCAGCAGGGATTGTGCTGGGCATGGCTTTTCTACTCCACCTGTTTCTGTGGTCCAATGCTTTTAGACTCAGACAAACCCAGTCTGATCTCTCATGTGCTCACGCCCAACACTTAAGGCAACCATTTCACAGTGAAAGAGACTGAAATGAATGAGGAAGATATGAAAGGGTACAAAAGTTATGTACACCACCCAACACTCTCCTCCTGCATCCTTGCCCTACACACTGCTCCCATACCAGATAGGCCACAAGACTGAGGGCAAGGACACCTTAGAGAGCACACTGTGACCAGAAAGTCTGTTTGCTTCTGTGGGCGCTGATGTATCTCACAGGCACTGGTAGGACAAAAAAGGCAGGTCCTAGAAGAGTTTTAAAGATAATAAAAATTGGGAAAAGCTACAAGGACAAAGGCTGAGTATTCTTTTTCACCTTAAGAAGTCGTTTTATCAGTGAAAAAAAATGATAAAAAACAGAGCAAGGAAGCAGAATCTGTGACACCATCCAGAGTATTTAAGGGTGGTGAGGCACTGGAACAGGTTGCCCAGAGAGGTGGTGGATGCCCCGTCCTTGGAGGCACTCAATGTCAGGCTGGAGGGGGCTCTGAGCACCCTAACCTGCTGTAGGTGTCCCAGTTCGCTGCAGGGGAATTGGTAGGAATGGTCTTTAAGGATCCTTTCCAACTCAAATTGTTCTATGATACAGATACTCTGCATTACTACAAGCAGTGGCACAAAGACAGTGATGAACGAAGCTCAGTGTATGGTCACACGGCCAGTATTTGGTCATTGGATTTTAACAAAGGGCTCAGAGAGCTCAGCTGATGACTATAACAATTTGCTGACAAAATTCTCTGGGATTGATAAATAATTCATCCTGGACAGCAGGTGTTGGGAGAATGTAAGTGATTGATGAAGACCAAAAAAGAAGACAGAGCTGTTAGATTTTACAAACGTGCCTAATGTGGTTGCATTTTCATTCAGCCAGTTTTAGACAGAGATGCGATTTGGGGTTGCACTTTCGAAAGCAAACAACTCAGATGCAAAAGCCCAGTAGATCTTCAGGTGTACTGCAGTGTACCTGAAGATGTGAACAGCAGCATAATGGTTAACCATAAGACCCAAGAGGTGGTGGCTCAGCACCTCAGCCCCAGCCACGAGCACAGCAAAACCTGGTATGGAAATGTCATAGAAGATCCAGTCTATGGCTGAATGTCTTCGGGGGTGTAGATCACATTTTCACTAATGATCCAGGTGTTTAAGAGTCAGGCAATGCACTTTTCCTCATTTCTAGATCTTTTAAAAAGCAAGAGATAAAAATAAGTGCTTGTATATTTGTTCCATGTCAGCTGTTCTCCTCAGACCTCTGAACCTTATTCATCGCACATTAGTGTTACTCAGTAACTTGGATCTAATATAATATCAGTTTTGCTGACATTTATCACCTGCTTTCGTTTACTGATTATTTGGATTTATTGCCTGAGTTAAGTTAGCTATTTACTTTTCATGACTAATGGATATGAAGGCTGTTTGCCACAGCAAGCGGAGACAAATACAAAGGTTCCCAGGCAACTGGGATTGAAAAGATGTTTCTAAATGGTCTGGTATATATTTTGTCACCTAGAACTGAGACTCAAACAGGTCATATAGGCATATATCTACATACATATGTACATGCATAGACATCTGAAAATACTTAAAAAAAAAAACAAACAAAAAACCTTCAACTAACATACTGTGAAGTTGTACCTGATTACAGCTGGTATGCACTGGTCTAACCAAGGGGTATGAAAAATTATGCGCGTAGTGCCTGAGCCCAGAGAATAACTGGAAAATGCCTTTAATATAAATCACAGTTCTTTTTAGGAAAATAAATACACCTTAGACTCCTGCTAAAAGGGCAGAATGTCCACGTGCTTCTGAGGGAATGCTTTCCAGATATTCATAACCTATGGCCTGTCTGACCTTTTGCTAAAATCTGAATGACAACTTGCAAAGAAATGCAGTTGCTTGGCTCACTGCATTCAGAAGGAACTAAAATCTGAAACAACACATAAGCCTAAAAGATATTGTATAAAAATAAACAGATAAAAAGAAAAAAAAAGTATATTGCAAAGAGCAGAACTTTTCACTATTTGACAAAACAATTAATTCAATGATCACCTGCTCCAGCTTTTCACTGAGGAATTGAGCAAGACACAGTAATAGTTCAGGAAATTAGGTTTGCTTCTGGGCTCAAGAAATGGAAAGAATCATCACTGTGAGGAATCACAAAACCCCAAGAAGCTCAGGTTTCTTGGGCTGTGTCCTCATGAAGAAGCAGTACGGACCTGGAAGAGCAGGTCTGTGGAGCAAAGCAGCTGTCCTTGAGACCCAGCATCCATGCCATACACATCTGAGGGTACTATCTTTTAATTTCAGGCTTGCTTCAGCCTGAACTTGGTCCAACCAAAAGTTGATTTGTGGATGGAGTGCTTTACACACACTTCCAATAACAGGGCAGCTACTACAGTGACTGTAGAGCTCTCCTCATTCTAAAGGCTCTTTGCAGTTAGCAGCAATACGAAGCATGACATGCCAGCACTCCTCATTGCTTGGGGCTTTACCATAAACAGAAACAACTTACCAATAAGCCAACTCTACTGCATTTCTGTTGTGCCTGTGCTACACATCATATACACACTGATACGTTAACTATCTGTGTTTGGATGATGAGCTCTGTTTTGTGACACACACTCTGTGGTAGGTACCAACATGAAACTTCATTCTACTTCTTGCATTTTCCTCTTCCTAGATCTCTGATAGCAATGTTCAAAAGATATACAAGTTCTGCCTTTTGGCATATCCTCCTCTAAGGATTAAACAGACCCTCGATCATACAACACCAGTGGGTTCTTATTCACCATTAGTATTTGCCACCTTTTTTATTCTATGTGTAGGAGATTTTATTGAGAAGGAGTGCAAGCTTCAAATGCTTGAGCAGACTGTGCTTTTCCTATTTTCCTTTTATCTAAAAACAAAAGCAAATAAATAACTAAGCCTGTGAGCTGAACCTCTGCACTCTGAGCCACCTATTTGAATTTGGTTTGAGAAAGATTAGTTCCATGAACTACTTTTAACCCAATCTTTTGCCATCTTTTCACAATTGCAGGCATCACACTTTTTACATTGCTTTCATGAAAAACAAATATTTTTTTTCCCCTCAAAGCATGACATTATGTTGCAAATACAACTGGAGATGCGTACAAACCAACACAAAGTAAAAGGCCTTCTATCTGCAGAATATTCAAATGTGCTCTGCTGTGAACTAGCAAACAGAGGAAAGAGAAATAACACAGGGCAGTTTGCACTCATTACTGCAGGGTTATTTCCATGGAGGTATGATACAGGAGATCGGTGTCTGGTGGAATGGCTGCAAGGAAGAGCTCAGAATCCTCAGATTACTTGTTCAGGAGCCACCACCCAGAGATGTGACAGCCCAACCATTTGACTGCCAGCAAGGCAGGTGCGTTGCAGAAGTGGCTTATTCTGACAATCTCACCAGGCCTTGAACAAGAGCACAGGGCTGAGGGAGGGGAGAGGCTACAAAGCCCCTGGAAGGGCATGAGAGTTCCCTCAATATTTATACAGCATATCCAGTGACTGCCTCCAGTCTAGATTTCATCACTTCAGATAAATGAGCTGCTGTGGTTCCCACACTCTTCTAAATCTCTTGCTTTGTACCTGGGTACTTAAGAACCTCCTCCAAATAGGGGGGACTGCCAAGCAGGGCTCTCAAGCATGTCAAGTGGGGACCTCATGTCCTAAAAGTCAACAGTGAGACTCCTCCAAATCTGCTTCTTAGTGTTAAAACATCTTAGGAAACCAGGTCACAGAGATGTTTGTTTCTACCTTTAGCAAATTAAGAGCAGTTCCTCACTGAAAGGGGCATCATGTATGTTTTTTTCCCCATTTATTTCTTTGTAGAAAAAGTGAATAAACAACTCACCTTGTCTGGGTGTTGCATATAGTTATTGCAATTATCTAGCAATGGGTAGCCACGTTATTGCAGTTTCTAGCTCGAAGTGATTTGATTTATGTGCTCCACCTTTCTAAACAGTCATTACAAAACAGAAGCAGCTCCAGGAAGAGCTCAAATCCATGGTAACTCCCCACTGCCTTTTTCTTGCCAAGGACTGCTGTGCTCCCTCAGCACGAGGACTCTGGTGATAGCATAATGAGGTGCAGAATTGCCATTAGAGTGATGAAAGGGCACAGAGGTGGCATGAGCTGGTAGGAGGATAGGAAGGTGTGGACATAGGATTTCTATTTTTGTTTCCCCAAAGAAAAACTATTTTGTGGGCACAGTGACTGATGGCCATGTCATAGCACTAAATTTCCATCTCTTAGGCCATTTTGACTCAAGTGGACAGGTGGGCAAAAGGGATGAGCATGCCAGTGAGTTGTCACTTGGTCTCATAAAGATCAGTGTCTGCGTAAAAAACAGAGATCCAAGGCAGTGCACACCATCATCCTGCAACGGCCAGAAGTACATGCTGTCTCCCACTCAACAGAGAGAAAGATGAAAGAGGTAAATGACAAAGGATACAAACCCGGATTAAATCAGATGTCATTGCTCCCACAGCTTACAGAACAGTTTTCAGCTTGTTTCCAGTTACGCAGCACCTATAGGTTCTTGTAGAATGTCATGCAGAAACTTGTTCTCCTAGGGGCTTCCAGTGCAAAGTCTTGCTTTGCCAGAGGGAAAGGGCAACCTCTTTGGTTTTGGTCTGACCATTCTGCAGAAAAGAGATCACAGAAAGACATCAGAATGGAATGACACCTGCATTTCAAGAACTGTGGTAATTGTTAATGCTTTACAAAAGTTAGCCATTAAAACCTCTTCAGTGTTTAGAGCGCATACTTCCTGGCTTGTGTATCTGCTGCTATCCCCCTAGCAAAAGACAGGGAAATGGTGGAAGGGGTGTGGATCCTTAGAGCTTGTGCTCATGAGATGTCAGAGTGCTGAGGGGATGTGCCCTGCAGCATTAGTGGTCCTGGCCTTTCCTCCTTCATTACCACCAACAAAACCACCCACAATCAGCAGCTGTTCCTGGGCAAGCATCCACATCAGCACTGCCTTTCTCAACACTTCCTACAAAGACTTTGTTACAGCCGTGAAGTAGAGGAGATAACAGCAATATGAATGAGGTGCAGAAAACTGTGTGGCTTAATTGCACTTAATTATGCTTTCAGGGGCGTTCCTGATTCCATACTTCATCGCTCTTATCTTTGAAGGAATCCCACTGCTGCATCTTGAACTTGCCCTAGGACAGTGCCTGAAGAAAGGCAGCATCAATGCTTGGCACACCATCTCACCTTACCTGGGAGGAGTCGGTGGGTATCTGAGCTGAAAGAACCACGGCTGGGCTCCCACTCAGCACTTATTTCCTGCACGGCTGCACCTGATGCTCATCAGGATATCACTCCCATCAGGTGTCACTCCAGACAGATGGGAGCCTAAAACATGAACCTTTTAGCCTTTGATGTGGGTGCATGAGATAGGAAAGCTAGGGTGTGTCTTGCTGTATGCAGGAAAATGGGATTGGTGCTGACAACTATGCCTGTGGAAGAAAAAGAGTAGGTAAGAAGTTATTGAGGGGTAAGAGGGCAACTGGGAAGAACCAGAAAGCAGCAGGATGGGACCTCCAGCTAGATTCTTCTCCTACTGCTTAGCAGGTCCAACTTCCCTTTGCAAAAAAAACAGCAAGCAGAATCTGTGGTGTTGATACAGAAGGAACAGAAGATAGTAGTTTAGTGTGTTTCTGCACAGTATGGGATAAAACAGTGCCCTTGTGCAGCTATATTGTGCTGTGAAACTTCAGTCTCTTTTGGTCTGCTGTTAAAGTTGTGTCATGTTGTAAAATAAATAAATAAATACTGAATTATATGCTATGTCAAAGCACTCAATCCTCATCTTCTAAATAAGTAGTTTAAACCTCAGACTTTTCCTGGACCAGGTAACATCCCACGTGTTTTGTAGGAACTGCGACAACTCAAAACCCAGTGTTTTGGAGAGACCACCTCAGGTAGATCTAATGTCTATCTCAATTTTTACTTTTATTTTTATTAAATGAGCAGCATTCTGTACTTGAGCTTGTCCTACCTGCCCTATTTCTATGCTGGCTGCTCAGATTCCTGGTAACCAGGAGCCAGTGGCTCAGTCTTCACCTGCTCTGAGCAAAGTGTCATCTCCATCTGGAAGCCACAGGGGATAAAAACCCTGCCTAACTTTGACCTCAAAGCAAGAAACCAAACTACAGATTTAGTGGGATCCCTTCCAGTATGAATTTTCCTAGGCTCTATCCAAATGTGAAGCCACTTTCAGAAGTGGGTGGCCAAAAGTCAGGAGTTGGGTATGCTTCTCTATCTGAAGAGGACTCTATGGCTCAGGCAACCTGAATGTCTGAGCCCAGCAAGCCAGAACTCTTAAAGAAGGCAGCTGTTTCTCACATTTTTCATATTAGACAACCTCAGTGAAATCACAGAAAACTTGTTTCCGTCCCTACAGCTGAAAGTGACTCTGGCACAAGCTCAGATGTTGTCTTTTAAGTGCTTATAGAGCTGAGTGTTAAAGACCCAAAGTTGTAGGTCCTATGTCTCCTGTTTTTGGTGCCACAGTGCCCTACTCTTAGCATTTGTCACCTACTTGCTCAGGTGGCTGCCTGCTGCCACAGAGTCTCCCAGAATGGAGAAAGGCTGAGCCCAGGGCATGAAGCAGAGGAGCGCCAGCCTTCTTACAGCAGTGCTGGTGGAGCCAGGGGCTGCGCATCAGAGCCGAGGACACAAATACACATCATCCCTTGTGAAGATCTCTGGAAGAAAAAAAAAAAGATCTTGAGAAATTAGGAGATGGGAGATTCTAAGAGCAAGTGCTATGACTGGTAACTTTTCCCTGGTTTTCTAAGCTGAAATCTGTCATCTGCAGGGGTTGCTTCATTGATGGTGTCGATTCTGGTGAGCTTATATTACAACACCATTCTAACGTGGGTGATGTGGTACTTCATCAACTCTTTCCAGGAACCCCTTCCATGGAGCACCTGCCCTCTAAATGAAAACAGAACAGGTAACTGCTGCTTCAGTGTCACTGCAATTGGAGCATCACAGACATTAGAGTCTGGGGACTAGGGGGAAAAGGGAAGATTGGTTTACTTGTTTTGCTGACATGATAGTACAGGGACAATTTGAAAGAACATCCTGTGCTCTCTGACTATGGAGAAACAGTCTTTTATCAAGGCACTCATGACTGTCACCATAAACTACGTATCAAGACATATGAGACTGCTGACATAATTGCAAAGCAAATTTAAGACTTATTTCAGTAACTGGTTTAAAGGAGACTTGTGTTTTCATTGGGTAGTGATACCTTGGTTATTACAAGCCAGAAAGTCCGCTACTCCTTTGATTTCAGAATAAAAAATGAGGTTTTTAAAAATAAATAAAATAAACAATTTTTGAGATGGCAGAGAAACCATTTGAAGACAATTAGTTACACATTACCCATTACAAAAATACTAGTAAGACTTAAAAAAGCATATCTAAAGACTGAATAAAAAATAAAGACTGTTCTCTGTTCTTTAAAATGACTTTTTGGCTTTTTTTGAGTAACATTTCTTTACCAAAATTGTCTTTTTTTTCATGATAAAAAAATATACTGCTGAACTTGAATGAGACTGCATGTAAAAACAGCAACCCTGCTGCTCTCCACTCCTGTAGAGCATTGTTTCCTTGTGATACAGTGAGTGGCAAAATATTACCACATTTCAACGTTTCTTCTTATGCACGCCATCCTTTTCCAGGGCTCAACAAAGAATGTTATGAAAGTACTGCAGTCAATTATTTTTGGTACAGGAAAACTTTGAACATAACACCTGACGTCACCGACAGCGGCACATTACAGTGGTGGCTTGTTTTGTGCTTAGCAGCTTGCTGGGCAATTGTGTATCTCTGCACCATTCGAGGGATTGAAACCACAGGAAAGGTAGGCGAAGGACACAGAAGTAAACAGCTCAGGGTCTTATCCTGCGCTTTGGATGTCATTTTCCAGAGTTCATCAGTTTCATCAGTTTCAAGTACCACTTTAGACCCATTTCACTGTGCTCCTTGTCCAACTGAGTGGTAACAGCAGCACAGATTGCTCAGAAATATGCTCCTCTCCTTTTCCTTTGCAAATGCTTCTTGCCCTACTAGTTCCCCCTCACTGTTCTAAGAGCATTTTTTATTTTTAAGAAATTATTACTAAATATTATTGAAGTAATTTATAATTTTTAACCATGCTCACTTGTAACTGTTTTATCTAAAAATATTAGGATGGCACAAGGCAAAAACTTAAAAAAAGATCCATTGATGTTACTCTTAATAACTTTGTCTTAATTATCACTTTCTGACTAGGCAATTTATGTAACAGCAATATTTCCTTACTTGGTCCTAACTATATTCCTTATTCATGGACTCAGTCTACCAGGAGCCACCGAAGGTCTAGTGTACCTTTTCACCCCTAATGTAAGTATTACCACTATCGTCAGAAACACTACTTTTCCTTTTTCACCCCTCAGATCTCATGCTATACATTCATTTTGAGGTTCTCTCATTTTTTTTCTCATCTTCTCAAAGGGGTAGGAGTCTTAGGTCCCTTTATATGCTGGTCACTTCAAAAGGGCCTCTTAACACTGCGCAAACTCAAAGTGCAGTTGGACTGCCAAGTGCTTGCTGTGAGCTGTGGGCATCCTCATTGCTCTGCCTCAGCGCTAAAAATCGCCGTAAAGCGGAGAGCTGAAAAGAAGAAAGGCAGCACCCACTGATAGAGCAACCTCTGAGCTTGGCACACAATTGCAGAGCTGGCCTTCAAGTCCCCAGCAACTGCCCTGTGAACACCATACCCCTCCTCTGTGGTCTCAGTGCCCACAGGCAGCCTTTGCCTTACTGAACATGTCCATCCTCTGCTTTTCTGGGGAAAAAACTGACAAAACTAGTGTGGAAAAATTCACTGATGAGTTACCTGCAATGGAGAGGTGTAAGACCATCACTGTTGCTTGACTACACAGCCCTGATTGACTGACACTGAAGATGTTCTTAGACCTCCTAGGGATCTGGTGTCACCTCGCTTTCCCATCTGTTAAGGTGTAAAGGGAATACTGATTTCACTGAAAGGAGCACCACTCTCCTGTTCTGAAGGCATTTGTTGGCTGTCAAGGCTAGATGTGGATAAGCCACATATTCTGTAGGTAAGCTCACACATTACATTACATAATTACATACTGCTCGAGTGGGGCAAGTCCAAGACCTTTTCCCCTCCCAGCAGGGATACGCAGTGGTGTGAGAGGAATGGGCTTGTACTGCTGGCAGTACTCCAGGTGCCCAAATGGCTTTGGTCATGGTTTTCAAACTGAAAAATAGAAAACCACGCAACTCCTATGCCAAACTCCTATGATAAAGCAGTGGAGAATGGGTATTTGGCCAATTCAGCTGTAAGAATAAATCAACACCAGCATCCTGAATGCCATCCAGGTGATTACGGGCTCTGAACTGTAGCAAGGAGCTGTTGGGCTCTCTCCCATGGCAAAGTAGTAATCAAGGTGGCAAATCATGCTGAAAGAGCATGAGGCCAAGGTATGTCTGTCCCATCTTTAACTCAGCCCACCAAGCCACAGCTCAGAAATACTGGATATTTTCCTCCCTAACCCTCAGGTTATCAATGCCCTGTTCTTCCTCAAATGTAGGAATTTTAATCTCCCTTTCTCGCTCTCTCCTGTCCCTGCCCTCCAGCCTATGAAAGTAAATAAGCTGTTGGATATGTTCATACAGGTTCCTCAGAGTATCTAACCAAAAACCTCTTTAGATTTCTCTACAAAGCCTCTTTTCCTCTGCTCTCTCACTTGCTAATAATTCTTTTCTCCTTCTCTTTTTGGGATTCACATTACGTTGGCTGTTTGATCTGAATGACTTTGTTTTATTAAAAAAATATTTTCCAGTGTAGAGGGGCCTGCTCTTACAGGCAGCAGAAAAAGGATTCTATCAAGCCTTTATGGGGCTCAGCTTCCATGTTTTTCCGCGTCTGCTCAGGAGCACAAATACTTTTTTTTCCAGCCTCTTTCACATCTGAAAGAGTTTCAAGGATTGTAAATACCTGGGGTGTTCTACATCAGTGAGTGCTTACTTTCCACATTACTCCAGTGTTCACTTGTTCACATTCTGATTTGATATCTTCATCTATCTGTTTCTAGTTACAGCACATTTAGTCTTTTAAAAACCTGCATGGCAAATTACTGAAAATGCAAAATAACTTTTAGGCTCTTAATTTTGGCTTATGATCAGATAACAACCTTGTCACGATGTTCTAAAGCTGAGCAGTATTGCTCAACTTACTGCACTTGCTGGATTTACAAGGGTCTTTTCTAGGAGGTCTCAGTACAGCCCCCCGAAACAAAGGTGGGCCCAACAAAATGCAGTGATGTTTGGACACACGTAGATTAGTACAGTGAGTTGGTCACGACACTTTTCACTTGCCTTTCTACTGATTGTTTTTTCAAACTTTGAGGTTGATTAGCATGTTCCAGTGTCAGTGCATTGCATCTAACACCAAGCTACACTAACTCCAACCTCATATGCTGGAAGACCCGACTCAGGAAAGATGGGTTGGTAGCAACTGGATCTATCAGCACCAATCATTGGCTTGGCAGCAGGCAGGCCAGGCAACAACGTGAATACTTCATTTCTGCATAGCAGTCTGTTTCTGGATGTGCATAAGCTCCTGTCGGTAAGCACTTCAGCATTGGAAGGTTTGGTTAAAATCTTCCAAAGTAAATGTCCTAACAGGTCTGTTAGCCTAAGCTGAAGCATTTCAGCCAGCAATGGTTCCATGTATTTGCTCATTAAACTATGCTGTATGAAATGTAACACCTGTTTTCCTGTGGTCAAAGCACTGTCACACACACTGCCACAGCATATGTGGTTCATCCAAACTGAGGGGAATGCATTACTGTAATCCTTCAAGCTCAGACCAACTGTAGAGAAATCCAAAATACTACAACCTTTCTTTGGCACACTCTTAGTCCTACACATGACAGTGGTGTACAGGGTCAACAGCCTAGAGATGTAGACACGACACACAAAACACACAGTTCAGCCTGAATGACGGAGATGCCACATTTCTCTGTGCTCAGACTGATGTAAAACAAAGTGATGCACTCAACTGCCCAGGTATTACTTGTGGGGCAAATGATATTTAAAACACCAGCTCTTAGCTGATACTCCTTCTGGTCCCACAAGTTGATACGGGATTGGAAAGTAGTTGACCTTGCAGAGTATGAAAATAACATATTTCTTTGCCAAATGCAGGAAATATATATTCAACACATCTGTATTGTGCACGTTACTAACATTTTTGCTTTACTTTTAGACTAATTTTAATGGTAAACTTTAGTCCAGTTATTTACTTAAAATTGCATACTATTCTTCGGAACCAAAAAAAAAAAAACAAAAAAAAACCCACAGATTTTTTTTCAGTTAATTTCCTCTATGAAATCTTCCCTTCTTAAATCAAATTCCAAATTTCACTCTGTTAATTTTCTCTTTTTCCTTCTTTTTCCTATGCTACTTTGCATTTCTGTTTACATAGTAGTTTGAATTTAAGATGCGCATTCTATTTTTTTAATGAGTACTCAATTCTTGCACTTTTAGAGTTTTTGTTGTTGTTTAGTTTTTTAAAATGTGATGAAGGTTAAGTATTTGTACAGTTTGAGGAAGATAACAACCTCAGACTGTAAGTTACTCACTATGTATAATAACAGGAAGAAACACGTTGAAGAAAAATGTAACGTACTGTCTCCATTGTGTGCCTATTACCTGTGCAGAAACACTTCTATTATCAGGCAGAAGAGCTGCATAACTGCATTAATGAGTTTTAAAATGAAACAGATTTTATACATATTTTTAATGTGCCTTCAGAAACATCTGCTCAAATGACATATTTTGAACTAATTTCCACTTTCAGTGTATATAGATGGCATCACAACTCACAGTTTCGCACATGTGAAATAGAGCAGCCAAGGGAACAGAAAGTTTAATTCCTAAATAATGCATTCATTCCAATTATTTCAGCTGAACATCCTGAAAAATCCCCGTGTGTGGCTTGATGCAGCCACCCAGATTTTCTTCTCTCTTTCTTTGGCTTTTGGAGGGCTTATTGCGTTCTCAAGCTACAATCCATCAAAGTAAGTGGAACTGTGACCTTTACAACTTGGATAGGCTCTTGCAGCACTTCATGCAATTTTCTAAATTTCTCAAAATGTGGCATACTTTTAGGGGATCTCAGCAGCTGCTGTCCTTCCAGGTTTTAGTGATCTATTTTACCATTTTAACAATTTTTTTTTTCTTATGCTCAGCAAATATATTTGGTATAGATTAATTTTTTGCCTACCATACTAATCGTTAATGTGGAAGTCTCTTCTATATCCTGGAGGGGGTGTGGATAGATAATACTTTTTTAGCCAATTTGCTTATTAGAATTCTACTTCTAGAAATGACTGCGAAAAGGATGCTGTGACAGTAGCCGTTGTGAACAGCATAACATCCCTCTATGCTTCCATCCCAGTCTTTTCTGTTCTGGGATTTAAAGCAATCACAGGCTATTGGGACTGCTTGGACAGGTAAGAAACTTCCATTCCAGTGCTATATACCGTAGTTTCTACACCTAAACAGATAATGTGTTACTTGAAAACATGCATTTCACTGAAAAACATCCGTATGGAGAAATCTAATAGAGAAATATAGATCACCATGGCACTGAGGAAAGAATGATCACAATAGCATTTGTATGGAATAAAACATTATAGAATAATATACTGGAATTAGTGTATATAAAAACACACAAATTAAGGATCACATATTAAGCTAGCATTAGAAATAGTAAAAATAAAACATTTTTCTATTCCACAGGATTTGTTATTAAACACAAGTGGTGGAAATGATGTGGATGTATAAAATAAGACTTGAAATATATTTTAGAGATCTGTGTAAAGTACTCTGAATTTGTATCTCAAATAAGTATTAATGAATATTTTCTCCTAGTCATTTACAAATGATATATATTTATTTTATATATATAAATACATTAAAAATCTGTATATAGGAGGAAATATATATCCCTCATATATATATTTTATAGATGAATATATGTTATTTATAAAAATATGTAAAAATATAGAATATGTATATCCTCATATAATTATTTATATATATATAAATATATATATATCTATACATATAAATATATATATATACCTATACATATAAACACTTAGGAAAAAATTGCATACATGTATATCCTTGTATAATATTTTCTTTTATGCTATAAATAACAACACTGGAAGTAAACAATTTTCTATCAAAGTTCAAATGCGTAACATTTGCATATGTTGGCTTCTCTGTCAGGAATATTATCAGTGTCATCAATGAATATGATCTTCCAGAACAAAGCATTACACGACAGAACTATACAGACTGGATCACGTTCCTGAATTCATCAAATCCAAAAAAACTCGCTGGTCTCAAACTGAAAAGCTGTGACCTTCAAGAATTTCTTGATCGGGTACCATAATTGCTTCTCACAAAATAATCCTTAAATAAATATATATATATATATATATGCAGATAGAAGGACCAGCCACTTTGTTTAACTCACTTGTAATTTAGTTGTAATTAATATTTTTTATGAAATCATAACAATTTCAAATATCAGCACCACTGTAGGGCAGTGTGAACTCAAAGCAACCTCATACGTTATTCAAAATAGTACATAATAATCATAGAATTAGTGTTCAAAGGGACTCCTACACAGAGCATACACGACGGACACTGGATTTAGTTCTACTCCAGTTTAGAGGAATAGGCCCAAGAGAGAAAACACAGCTAGCTGAAAGATTATAGAGAAAAGGTGCTGAGTGAGAGTTTCCTAAATCCCTATTTGGCAACTGAAGTATCAAAACTACATTAAAACATACACTGTTTGCCTCTGATCCCATACCTGTGCAAATACAAATTCTGATCTGTGATGATGAACTGTCAATTCATACCTAATAGACCATTTAAAATTAAAATGGAGCTCTTCATTCCTACTCCCACAAACACTTCCCACAACTGATTTCCTCCAGTGCTGACTGCTACATAGCCTGCTAGACTAGCCAGCATCCTTGATTCCAGAGAAGGACACAATATAAGAGGTGACAAAGTTAAAGCTTCACAATTTCCACTGGTTTTACACAACTTTTTGATTGTCAGATGCCATATTTTCATATACTCTGGTATAAATATTTGTATCCCTTTTTGACCTTAACAGGCCAGCTTCAGAAACACATTTACAAACTGTACAGCTTATTTAGGTGCAATGACCAGAAACAATCACTCTGATTATCTTGCCTAGCACAAACCCTAAAAACAATAGCATTCTCAATTATTCTTAGTTTAAGTCAAACTTGAACTAGACTGTATCTCAGAAAATAATACAAGCTGAAATTCTGATGTTGACGTTCAGAATACGAAGATACGTGCGTGTTACAGAATCACAGAATCATAGAATAGTTTAGGTTGGAAGAGACCTTAAGTACCACTCGGCTCCAAGCTCCTGCCATGGGCAGGGTTGCCACCTGCTCAGATCAGGCTGCCCAGGGCTTCATCTGATTTTGAACACCTTCAAAGATGGGGCACCCACAGCTTCTCGGGTCTTGAGAAATTACATTTAGCCCCTTATAACATTTATTTGAATTTCTTTGTGAATTCCACAGAGCGTATCAGGATCTGGCCTGGCTTTCATCGTGTTCACTCAAGCCATTATCCTAATGCCAGGCTCACAGGCCTGGGCCATCCTGTTTTTTGTAATGTTGTTCAGCTTGGGCCTCTCTTCCATGTTTGGAAACATCGAAGGAGTCTTCACTCCTCTTCTAGAACTTCAAGTTATATCTAAATCAATACCTAAAGAGCTTCTGTCTGGTAAGGTATTTGGTTTGCTTTGTTCAAAGAAGGTGACTTCTGTATAGATGCATAATGATCAACTGCTTAGTAAATATTGTAAAGGGATTAAGAATTTGTAATATTAACTTAATTATTGTGCAGTGCTAGTCAAGGTAGTGGATTGTATTTGCAGAAGATAAAGACATAGATGAGGTAGCACTTTGGCATATGGTATCACATTGCCCTTGCCATTGTTCTTAGCTTGCAAGAGGTCTTTCAGTCAGTGAGCGCTCATTCAATTACTGGGACTGGAGCCAAGCTTGCTCTAAGTTGTTGCAAACATCAGGAAGAGCCTCGTCTCCACTGTGGCCTTCTGACAATAAGACAGTATTAAGGTAACAAGTGACATCAGCCAGTCTGCCCAAGAACTTGCTGTATCACAACATCAGCATGACTGTAAGACAGATCACTCACCCCAATTTCATTCAGAACTATAGTACTACCAATTATTTTACATTTACTGAACAGATAATGAGGAATGACTGCTTACTGTTCAAAGCTAGAGCCTCTTCCAACTTGAGACACCAAATCCAGCCTTCTCTTCAGGAATTGGGCTCTGAGTTGAATTTGTTCATTTTGGCTTTCTTTGCTGAAACATAAAAGCCTGCATTAGCAAAAAGAAACAGAAGAGAATAATAGGAGAGATCCTACTGGATTGGTCTAGAAAAAATTCAGCAGTTTCAAGTAATGGATTAACACCTGTCTACTGTATCATTTTAAATTAATACATGGAATATTGCTACCATGCCTTTTCTAAAGTCTTGCTGGGGCACCTAAATTAGATTCTTCTAATTTAGATTCTTCTTCACAACTTTTTATGTAAAAAAACCAAATCTATCTGCAACTTGATGAGGTAACCATCCATATGCATGTACTTCCATCTCGGGACATAAGGACGTATCCTTCTCAGCTCTAGGTCCTTACCCACCACAGGTCCCAGCTGTTTATGTAGACCAATGACTGCATGAACATGAGAACAGCTAAAGCTCTCTGCATCAGTCAATAGGCAACATCCAAAGACTACCACAAGGCAAGGCACAGTGCAGAGTACTTGCTTGGAACTCTAGTAACTGAAGAATACTTGTCACAGGAATGCTTTCCTCATGCAAAAGAATGGTGTCTTTGGTCACCACAGAGGAGAAAACTGAGTTTAGGAAATGGTATCAAGTAGGTCCGTATAAGGAAAGAGAATAAAAGTTACTCAAACATAAGTAAAAACAATTTAGAACAAAAATGATCTCAATTTCTGTCCTCCAGTAACAAGTATCTCTTTTTCTTCAGGTATAATATGTCTAGCTTCCTTCCTTTTTGCTCTGTGTTTTACACTGGGTTCAGGGAGTTACTGGATTGACATTTTTGACAGCTATGCAGGCTCAGTGCCTCTTCTAGTTATCGCTTTCTTTGAGGTGATTGGGGTTGCGTACGTCTATAAAATTAAAAGGTAAGCTGGAAACTTTTTTCTCTTAAGAGGTAAATTTTCACTCTGGTATTTGAGTCCTGATATACGTTGGATTAGATGCTACAGAATTGCTGTAACATGTTTATTACTCACTATAGTTAGAAAACTTACTCAGGTTATGTAAACTGACATAGCCACATTCATCTCTGGGGGGAAAAAGGTTCTAGTTCTACTTTCTTAAATATTATGAACACCTACAGCAAGTAGGAAAGGTATGGAGTAGAAAAGATTCAAGGAGTTGTGTCACATTTGAAACTTACAGAAAGACTACAGAAAGAGAAAACAAAATTGTTACCCCTAAGCTCTGACATCTTTATATACATGCCTCCTCTTAAGGTTCAGTAAAGACGTGAAATGGATGACTGGACGAAAACTAAATCTCTACTGGCAAATCACATGGAGGTTTATAAGCCCTCTGCTCCTGCTAATTGTCTTTGTGGCCTTTGTTACTCTCCAAATACAGAAGACACCAACCTATGCAGCCTGGAACCCCAAATATGTATGTTCTCTAATATTTGCAATACTTAACAGAAGTGAATGTTTTTCTCTCCCACCGGATCCTTTAAAATCATTGCTGTTCACACAGTGTAGTCTGAAGTGATAAAATGCTCAGATCAAGAAGGCTCCAGTATGTACAGACATTACAAGGTTACAAATAATATAAAATGGCTTTCCTGTTATCAAAGTCTTCTTTCAGAGAAGTCTTGTGTCACCACACTCCATACCTCTCAGAGATGCACGTGATGCAGAGACTCCATATTTTCATAAGTGGCTCATATGTATAGTAGAGCTTCAGAGCTGCATGACAAATACCAGGGATGGAAACATTTTCAGAGGCTCAGGGGAGACCTTATTTTCTCTTGACAATGACATGGAAGGAAGTTGTAGCAAGGTAGGGGTCAATCTCTTCTCCCACATAACAGCAGTAGGACAAAAGCTTTACACTGTGCCAAGGGAGGTGCAGGTAATGTATCAGCAACAATTTCTCCTCACAAAGAGGGGTGAGGCACTGGAACAGGCTGCCCAAGGGGGTGGCAGAATCACCATCCCTGGAGGCGTTCAAGAAACATGTAGATGTGGTATTTTATGACATTGTTAGTGGGCTTGGTGGAGAATGGGTTGATGGTTGGACTAGATGATCTTAATGATCTCTTCTAACTTGAATGATTCTATGATTTGCCTTGAGAACTACTGATACCACTGGGACACTGATGAATGTATGACTGTGCAACTTGGACAGACAAGGAGGCAGTGGTCCAAGAACAGTGCTGGTTAATTCTGTGCCAAAGTCTTGCTGATGTTGAAAACACTTAATCTGAATGGGGGTGACTCGTGTCAGTTGCAGCTTCTTGTGTCTCTCTCAAATAGAGCCTGTGGAGGGGATCAGAAAATCGATTCCAGCCTTACACTGCACTCAGATTGCAGTAATCCTCAAAGATTGTCATGAGCCTCTGTAGTGTGAATAGAGGCAGAGACTGGAATAAGATCTACAAAAGAAAAACTATTAAAAAAATTTACAGTTATATTTAGACTCACAAGAAGTGAGGCCAGAGGATATGGCCACTGAATGCTATCATAGAGGAAAAATGAAACTTCTGCTATCTTTAAACATATATGGAAATCATAGAAATGTAAGTGCCCTAACGACTTTATTTATTTTCACTTTTTTTTTTTTTTTTTTTTTTTTTTTAAATCTCCATAGGAACACTTCCCTGTGAAGGAACAGAAAGTCTATCCACCTTGGGTACAGGCCATCTGTGTGCTTTTGGCTGCTCTTCCTTGTATATTTGTACCTCTGGTAGCAGTCATCCATCTGATCAAACGAATGTGCAGAAGGAAGGACCCAAGCCTTGTAACACCAGAAATGTTTTCATGTCAAGAAGTTAACAGCAACTTTCCTCATTCCCCCGAAAAATAAATATTCTTTCTGTCTGTAAGTAAAGATGACAGCTTTTGTTAGACATGATGTGTTACTCAGCTAATATGGTTAACACAGTTCTGCTTACAGCCTACCATTAGCACTCGATAACAGTGCTGCTATGTTCCCTTAATTTTCAACCAATTTCACAACATTTGTTGCACCTGCATCCTGTCCTGAATCCTACCTACCAAGAAGCACCAGTTCCACTGCCTTAATTCTATTCACACGTTACCAATTTCATGTCTCCTTGCAGACAGATTTTACAAACCTTGAAAGCCCACCAGTTATTTCAAGTGTCCTCTGTCTTTCTTCACTTATTCCAAATAAATGCGGTTCTTAAGGATAAACAACATAAAAATTAAAACCCATTTTACACAATTTTCTTTCACCAATCCCCCCACTTAGAGAGCTGGAATGAGAGCTCATGAAGGGGACTCCTTGCTTAGTCTACTTTTTGCAAATTCCTTTAATGCATTTAAATAGTAGTTATTTTATGATTATTCTATAATCTCAAGCATTACAAATAAAGCATCAGCAGTTAAAAGAACATGCACTAAGCAAAGCTGAGTAATTAATTTTGCACAAACATCTTAGCTAGCACATTCCAGGGTTTACTGTAGTGGAAAATACTGTGAGAACAAACATTCCCGAAGATTAATCCTTACTTTCTCATATTAAACATGATAAATTACTACTGTGATAGAAATGTTTGGAAGCATCCTAGTGTGCTGCAACGTTACATGACCATGAAATACATCTTTACTTAAAAAGAAGTTACCTTCTACTCGCCTGCAGATCCTGGCCATTCTGATGGGAGACAAGGGTTCCCTTTGCAGACATACTTTTGAGCAACCAGTAGCCTGTGAAAAAAGACTGGAAAAGCATGGGAGGATAAGGCATGACAAAGGCTTAGGTGGAATAATTAATAGAGCCAAGAAAGATATAGGGATTTTGAGAATAATGGACACAGTTTTAGTATTTAGCCTTGTGCTAGGCTATGTATTAATAGAGCTTTATAAGGGATAAAAGGGATTTGAACAGAAGTTGAAAAAGAACGAAACCAACTCAAACCCCTCACTGACATGTTGCTTCTCTCCATGAAAACACACCAGTTTGCAGCTGATTCTCTAGCAGCGTGGAAACAGAGTTGTCTCTGATTCCTTTGCAACAGCCTGAAGGGTCACAACAATGGAGGCCTCATGGAGGCATGACCTTGACAAGATGATGACTAAGAGACACGAAGGAAGGAGACAGGCCCACCTGACGGATGAAAACAATAGTGAGGGAGAGCTGCATCTTTCACAGCACTTGTTGGCACGGGTACTGACTGCCAATGCTATTTCTGTGAGAAAGTCAGCAGCAAACCACAAAGCCTAATGGAGAGAGCCATGCTGAGAGGATCCAGAAGCTCATGACAGTTTTTGCTCAGACATTAATATTGATCCACTGTCAGTGGAGCTAGACTCTCCAGGCAATCCATTTCGAATCCAAATGCCTTTCCCAACCACACCAACTCTCACTAGATGTGTCAGAAGCTTGACAACAGCTAATTCAACCTACTCACTCCCTAAGGTTACCACTAAAAGCTCAAAGCAGTACTACAAGGGCAATCTCCCTGTTAGTGAGACATGGTGTGCAGGAACAAAACATAATGATTTGCTCTAACAGAAGAGTTGGAGAGATCTGACAATCCTCACGCGCATGGCTCTGACTCCTTCCTGCTCCTGGGCTCTATAACTTATCCCTGGATGTGCCCCTCGTGTAGTCCTAGTTACATCAATAACAGCATTGCTGCCTTTGGCTGCTCAAGACATTTCTCCTGTTGTAATACTAAAATAGAAAAGAAAATGCCAGAACATCTATTTTTTATAATACTTCTGCAAACTGCTGACTGCTTTTAGAAGGGTTCGTTGCTAAAAGTGAGCTTAGGGACACCAGAAAATAAAATTATAGAAAAAATAGGGGAAATTATGCACATAACAGATAACTAACTACATATCACAAATTAAATTTGAAAGGTTATTAGCTAAATTAGATTTCCATAAAGAATAGTCTCAATAAAATCTGTTCATATAAAAACTAACTACGTAAATAGAAATTTTAATTGAAGTGTACACTATACATTCATATGTTTGATTACAGATAGATGTTCATTAAAATCATATACACAGGGGTATGTCATGAGGCTTAAGATCTTGGTCAGAGATACGCCCATAACAAAAACTGCAGCTAAATAATATAGACACATGCTGAGAAAATAGTGAAGCTATGTATAGATTCAAAGACTTGAATCTTCTGGATGTATCTCGAGTCACTGTCATGACACAGACAGTGGAAATTTTGAACTCCTTGACTTCTGAGCTCCTCATTATAGCTGCTCTGATGACAAAGTGCATGGATCACTGGACATATGCTTCAGTCTGCAAAAGGAGGCAAAGGAGAGAGACTTTTCCGTCTCAGTAACTGAAGTTCACAACAGGGAAATGCACGAGGTTAAGTTACTCTTTAGCTGAAGCAGGCATGTAGAAAATCTGCTAAACAGCTCCTTCAGGAACACTGCCTTGCTGTTCTTGTGCATTTTGGATGTGATCTATACCAGAATTCCTGTGCTAGAACTGTAGCCTCATTTCAGTAAATTTTAGTGCTACAACCCCCCCTCTCCTATTCACAGAAAACATGGTATTTTATGAGGACCTGTTCCCTTAAATAGCATGACTGACTTTCTCTTGAGTAGCATAACTGAATAAGTCTTTTCCTAAGACAGAATAGAAGAGGATAAAATTCTTTAGGCAGGGCTGCAAGTAGAGCTTGAGAGTAAATCAGAATGAGACATAGCTACAGGCATTGTGATTTTCAGCCACAACAGAATTTCTAGCCTTAAGATATGAATTTGTATAACAAACTGAAGTATCTACTAATACAAAACAAACAAAAACCCCAAACAAAACCAGAGCAAGAGCACTGCAACTGCACCAGAAATGAGGAATCTTCCAAATGATCCTAAAACAGAGAAAACCTGTAGAGAGAGGACCATACTCCTTCTGGAACACAAGCATTTCCCTACAATGCAAAATTTCATACCTACCTCAAAATGAAATTCACAGTCTGAAATTCCTTTCCTACAGGAAGCAGTGAGGATACCTTTGAAGCATGTTGATGCTTCTATTTCCTCTAGAAGTTTGTGTCAAGTTTCTCCCTTCCTGCTCTGCATAGAGATAGTATAAAAAACAACTTTTATCCCAACCACACTTCCTCCCCAAAGTGGCCCAAATAAAGTTTCTGACTCAGATCATAGGTTGCACAATACAGTTACCGTGGCTGGCCTCGCTCTTAATCTTTCTACTTACCTTTTCCTAAACACTGAAACAATTTTAACATTTCCCCTTACCCATAGAGTCTCCTGAACTTTTCCCAGCTTTCCAGTGATTGTTGAAAACTCACAGCATAGGTTCAGAATGTTCTTAAGCAAATTATTTTAGTATTTCCAGCCCAAAGTTACTCAATCCACCACGTTTCCTGTCACCAGTTGCTGTTCATCACACTTTCTACTAGTTAAGCAGAAAATGTTTTACCATTGTGATATATTGCACCATTTATTTTAAAACAGTTCATTACAGAAGCAGCTTTAAGGAATATTCCTACCTTCTCTTCAATGATTTGGACCAATCATTTTAGTGCAGTAAGCCCATGCTACTGTTAAATTCATTCCTTAAACATGTTCCCAGCATTCTCTTCATCAGTCCTGAGCTGTAGCAGCAAGTTTCCAGTACAGTACCGTACAGAGTGCCATATATTCTACAATTTTCCATTTGCAAAACAAGTACTAGTTTCAGCACTGCTTTCAATGGCCTTCTTAAATAGGCTATTTTAAAAAGAAAGTGAATTCTGAGAAATATTTGCATTTGTTTACAGATAGCCTTCAGAAACAGCAATGACTGCTTTAAACTGATAATTTAGCAAGTAGTTACATGTAAAGGCAAACATCAGTTCAGAAAATTGCATCACACTTCACATACTTTTTCCAAAAATACACCTTTAACTGAGATACTTCTTTGTTAGTTTATATGCCATTTAGTCTGCTGTGGTACAGAGTAAAAATGGACTTGTCCTGGCAATACACCTGCAAGTCAAAGCATCCTGTGGAAGCGGAATAAAGAAACAATGAAGACGGGACCCCAGTTGTTCTCAGTTTTAAGGGGGAAAACACCCCAACCTCTTCTAGAAGGCACTATGCTGAAAGACATTACAAACCTTCAGTCTATTAAACACACAAAAAAAATTAAAGTATGTTTCTTTCTCAGTACGCATGGAAAAGTCTGCATTTAAAAGCTTTAGAAGCAAACCTATCCATAACCACTACGCTCTTGGATGAAAGCAGAGAGGTTTTCTTCTAGTCCTCACAAATCCACCTCTTTCCAATGTTTTTTAGAAACTGAATAATTCAGCACAGTTGCTGCTCCAGTTTTTTACCACAGTTTTCCAGGACACTCTTTTGATCACCCCAAAAGTTTGCCTTGAGATGGCTGTTAGGCACAGAACAGAACCCATTCTCTCAGCATGGATTCACATCGTAGGATCCTGGCTTCTGAGATATTTTTCACTTCCCCAGCCCCTATCCTGCACAGTTCTTTCACAGCAGGTGTGTTTATCCATTCTGAGGAAATGATTAGGCTCATCCTTCTCAGGAGGTTTATCCAGAATACAGTGATCAAGACAAAATAAACATGCATTCATTGTTACTGCTGCCCACCAGCAAGGCCTTCTTCAACATGATACACAAAATGCATTGAGCAGTGCATTAAGTAGCAAAGAATCAAAATTTATACCACCTGCACCTACACAAAATCTTATTAGTATAGCAGCAGATGAAAAGAGCAGCAGAGAGGAAGGAATGCATAGCTGAAGAAAGACTGAGTGAGGAGTAAACAGTCACAGGAAGTAACAGCTCCCTCAGAAGTGCAGGAAGTTCTTGAAGTGCTTAAGTTTCATCCCTGATAAGATATTTTATTTATCCTA